AATCAGAGGACTTCAGCTACGTCACAGGCAGGCAAGGGGAAAAAAAAACTCTGGTGTGGCGGATCCAGCCTTGAAAAGACAGCACGTGTCTGTCACCACAGGCCAGTTCTTCCACCCTAATGTAGTAGTCTTGTAATTCTACAAAAGATTCTCTTCCATTCTTCTTTTGCTGTTCTTTTAAACTTTCCAACTGATTATGGTGGCCACAGAGAATCTGAACTCTTTGTCCTGCCTCTGTCATTCCACACACAAGAACATGGTCTATCACAGTAGCACTGGTTTCATCTGAAATGACAGTTCTTGGTCTTGCTCTTCCTCGACCTCCTCTTCCTCCACCTCATATACGCACTCTTTCATACCTCTCAGATTGATGAATGCTCCCATGCCATCTGTGCACTTTGAACTGACTTATATTTTGTACATTCACATATTTAGAAACAAGTGTGCACAGTTTTGAATTTTTGTGTGCAAATTATGACAACCGTGTTGCAGTTGTGCTTAACTTTTGCTTTCTTTTGTTTAGGGTTTTGCGTCACAACTTAATCGCAGTGCAAATTGCGTTTTAGTGAGTGAGAATGTGCTTAGAGTTTTGCAAAAAGAGTGCATGAGATCTGCAAACAGTGTAAACTGCCTAAACTTGTTTAAGGTTTCGCAGAAAGAGTGATTTATTTGACAAATTGGTTTAGGCTATTGATAATTTGGTTCAGAGAATGGGATTTAGTGTCTTAGCAAATGTGAAAAACTGTAATTAAGTATTTTTTTGTTCTTTGAACTGTCCATGGTTAGCAGTGCATTAGGCAGTTGTGATAGGTGTGGCACACACTAGAGGTCTTCATGGGTCCACTTGGATCCGAAAACCCGAGGTCCAACCCGAGACCCGAGCGGGTTCGGGTCCAAAACTTCGACGAGTACCTTGGACACGGGTCGGGCTCGGTATTAGCGGCCTCGGGTCTCGGGTAATTTAAAATAAACATGCTTTTTCCAATTTATTCTTTTAAACTATCCCGAATGCGTAGGCTACTTTCCCTTTCATGTTAAGTGAGGAACACACATAGAAAATAAAGCTATCTTTATAGCACATAAAGCTATCGATTTATTTTTTATCAAACTATCACGTTTATTTTTCAAATCCACTGGTCACAATTGAAAGCCGAGCTCAGAAATAACTTGTATCCATCAGGCAGGCACAAATATAAAGTAGCCTAATAATAAATTGAATGTTAAAGCTGCAGTCCATAAGTTTTGCCTCTGTGTCGCCATCTCTGTTTGAAAACCTGCAATTGCAGCTGTCTTCCTTGCTAATAAGAAATTATCTTCCTTGCGTGGGTTGTGCGGCAGCTTGGCTCCAGCATGGATGAATCTAATGTTTTGAGGTGAATGTGTGGCAGTCAGTCACCGCACCGGTGTGGATATTTACTGTACTTCGCACATATTCTCGCCTACGTCTTGGAATATATGACTCAAATAAGCATTTTCACCAGATATTGTCATCTG